GTTAGGTTTTAATTTCTCTATTTGTCTGAGGACCATGTCACTAGTTACCACAATCGTGCATAGTTTATTATCATCCTGTTCTACATAATCTATTATTTCAGGAATTTCGCCAGTATTTTCCTCGGTAAAAACTGAGAGGAAGTAAGTATTGAAAATTTCACACATCCTTATCACTGTCAGTGATCTGACCTGAGTTACTCTTAAGTGGGCCAATCTTGTCCCTAATCTTACTTCTGTATACCTGAAAGAACCCTTTTGGGTTAGTCTTTGAATCCCTTGCGACCTTAGCCTCGTAATCCCTTTTTGCTTTTCTTATTCCTTCATTTATTTCTCTCTTTAATTGAGTATATTGATTTCTTAACTGCCCATTCCCTCTTTGAACATGAGAGAGGATGGAGAAAAACAGGATGACAAGGAGGGGGTATAAATCTGAGGTGAAAGGAAGGAGGGGGTAAAGAAGGATTTGAGTGCTAGGGTGTTGGACATCCAATAGGTTTTTGCGAGTGTATTAGGCAGGATTAAGTGAAGGCAAGTGCTTTGAAACCTGGCAGTGGAAAGTATAGTGGCTGTATTCTGAAGGAGGGGTGAGCCTTCAAGTCATAGAATCTATTGGTAACTTTAATCAAATCTCACATCCACCTATTAGCTGCAGCTAACATAAGATGTGGATATGACTGAACTTACCTGGGTATTGTAAATGACCCAATTTCCTTTAGCTTGTTGTAGGGGAGGTGTGGTCCCAGTATTGTTGTCTTGAGTAGGCTGCTACAGATATGTAGTTATATTGTCCTCACTTGTTGATAGGGAGTCACTTTGATGCCTGTCGTTACACAGTATGGTGATGTGCTGTCCCTTTGTTCATTATGTCTGAGCACACGCCACAGTGATACACATTAATTCACCATCGTATTTTATATTGCGGATTACTACATTTGTGTTTGCACTGTTGTTACACTAGTTAAATTGCCTAGTGGAGATTGACAGTATGTATTTTAGAGTTTACCACACAAAGTCATTACTTTCTTTGTTCTCAGTAGGAGATTTGTGATGTGCTCATGCTCTGATGTCTGAATTCAATCTACCTTGCCGCCCTGCCCAGTGCCCACCAGTTCATCGTCCACACAAAAGAACTGCTGAGTTCTGCTTTATATACCTTTGTTGCTAGTCTGTGCAATCAGAATTAACACAAGAGGGTAGGTTTCTTGTTATTTAGCTGTAGGCTAGAGGTCATAATGTCCCTGACTTGTAAACCAAGTGGGATGCAGGTTTTCTCTTAATTTTCCTGCTATTGGGAAAAGAGTAATTACTCTTGTTTAACCCTCATTGTGTAGTTGATCAGAAATTCTAGCAAGGAGAGGGCATGCCTGGAGATACTATGGTGCATAAATCTGTTCCTCATAAAGCTGTTGTGGGAGGAAGGAAGAGTCCAGTAGCCCTTTGTGAGAGGGCTAAGTTCCCTCAGAGGGCTGAGGGGGGCTGAGAGATACCCCCCTCCTTTTACTGGAGATTTTTCTCCACAGTGTTAATGCATTTGGTAAAAAATTAAAATTTTTTCTTAAATAATCAGCTTGAATATTTGTAATGATCTTATCTGAAGATCAGCATTCGTAAGCAATTATTTTTACAGTGGACCCCTGCCCAAAGGCGGCATCAAGTAACAGCAAATTCGTCTAACAGCGCTCTTTGGCGTCAAAAAATTGGCTCTACCAATGACGAAAAACTCATCTAACAGCATGCGGCCTGAGCAGGCCCAGCCACTTCAAGACTCCGTGCATAGCCAGTGTGCCAATGTTACAGGCCGTTGCGGTCAATTCCAAGTGTACCTGCGATATATTTTGTATTATTCCAGTGTTTTTATGTTGCTTTAACGCTAAGTAAGCCAACCATGGCAAAGGGAGAAATTAGTGAACCGGGAAACATACCCTTAATACTAAAACCGCGTCGCGCTGCTGCACTACCATCAGCTGCTGCATTACCATCAGCTTTGCTGCAACACCATCAGCTGCGCTGCTGTAACCATAAGCGTTGCTGCACCACCATCCCTGTGCTGCTCAACACCGTCAGCCTGCTGCCACTCTTACTGCTTCGCTGCAACACCATCAGCTGCATGCTGCTGCTGTACTACTGTAAGCTGTTGCTGCACCACCGTCAGCTGCTTCTGCAATACCATCAGCTGCTGCTGCGCCACGGTCAGCTGTACTTCTCGAAGATGTGGAGAGACTATTGTTGGTGTGGCTTATCGAGAATACTGAGAAACAATTAACCACAGAGGGTTAGCCACCCAGGATAACCCAAGAAAGTCAGTGTGTCATCGAGGACTGTCTAACTTATTTCTTTTGGAGTCCTTAATCTTGTCCCCCAGGATGCGATCCACACCAGTCGACTAATACCCAGGTGAACAGGAAAAAATGCCAGGAACTAGTGCTCATATTGGTGAATTTAAGGCCAGCAAAGGTTGATTTGAGAGATTAAAGAATCATAGTGGCATACACAGTGTGATAAGGCATGGCGAAGCTGAAAAATTCCAACCCCAACAAGTATTCAATTGTGACGAAACAGGCCTGTTCTGGAAGAAAATGCCAAACAGGACCTACATTACTCAGAAGGAAAAGGCACTCCCAGGACACAAGCCTGTGAAAGACAGGCTAACTTTCTTGTTTTCTTGTAATGCTAATAGGGATTGCAAAGTGAAGCATTTACTCATGTATCACTGTGAAAATCCCAGAGTGTTAAAGAAAAACAGTGTCTCATCACTCAACAATACTCTTCAATAAAGGTAAGTGTCATTTTAGTACAGTGGAACCTCTACTCGCGAGCGTGTCCACGTGCAAGTTTTTCCAAATACGAGCAGTCGATGGGTCAATTTTTTGCTTCCATATGCGAGCAAAATTTCCGCAAGCGAGCAGACCTCAAGGCAGGTTCCTTGACACTGGTGAGGGACTCTTGCTCTTGATCTCGGGAATTGTATCTCACTTGTTTGTTGCACCATCTTATTGAAACTTGGGCAATGTATGATGGAAAGATGCTTCTTAACGTACACCAAAAATGAAAGAAATCTAAGCATAAATAATGGAGTTCACTTCTCAGCAATTAGCCACCCCTTTGCTGTAATTTCGAAAGGTTTTTATGGTTGTATTCTCGTTTTTTTGGTCTCATTTGATCGAATGGAGATATATTACAGAAATAGATATGAACATTAAAATGGTTGCATATGTGTCTTACCTAACAACAGAAATAGATATGATTTTAATTGCTTTCATGACAAAAAGTACCTTGAAATAGAGCTCAACCTAGGAGAAATGGTCCATTGCTTGGCTGTTTCAGAGTAAACAAATGACGTCACTGTCCATTCCAATATGCAGTCGTGAATGGGATGACATTATTTATACAATTATTGCAATAAGGAATAACAGTAAATCTTATATTTTTTGTGTGAATAAAAATTAAAATTTATATAATAATAATAATATGTATAATAATAATAATAGTATAATAATATAATACAATAATAATCATAATAATAATATAATATATATGATAATAATTCATAAAAATATACAGTGGACCCCCGATTAACGATATTTTTTCATTCCAGAAGTATGTTCAGGTGCCAGTACTGACCGAATTTGTTCCGATAAGGAATATTGTGAAGTAGATTAGTCCATTTCAGACCCCCAAACATACACGTACAAACGCACTTACATAAATACACTTACATAATTGGTTCGCATTGGGAGGTGATCGTTAAGCGGGGGTCCACTGTAATAATAATGTACTACATATAATAATTATAATAATAGATGGCTTCAAAAGGCTGTCACTAGAATGCAGTGTTTACCACAACAAAGAGGGAGCGGTTGTGGCCGCCTCCATCTGTTACATAATGATATATTTTATTCATTCTAGAGTTTTATTATTGTTTCTATGTTATTTATATTGTTTGTTATGTCATATTAGATGAACTGCGATATATAAATAAGTCGTATAGATGATATTAGCGAAATTATTCATGAAGTATTTTGCCCGGTCTCCAGACAAACTCTCGTCCACCACCGACACTGCCCATACCACTACATGAATGACGTATTTTATTCATTTTAGAGTATATGTCAGGTTTCTATGTTATTTATATTGTTTATTATGTCATATTAGATGAAGTGAGATGGATAAATAAGCCGTAGAATTGATATTAGCGAAATCCAATGGAACGGATTAATTGCATATCAGTTAATTTAAATGAGGAAAATTGACTCTGCAAATGAGCAAATCCAGCTGCGAGCAAGGTCATGGAACGGATTAAACTCGCAAGTAGAGGTTCCACTGTATTTATGTATGTATTGTGCATGTCTAATTGTTTTCTGTGTAGGGAAATGTATATTTTATGTAGAAAAAAAATTAATTTTTTTAATACTTTTGGCTGTCTGGAACGGATTAATTGGATTTCCATTATTTCTTATGGGGAAAATTAATTCGACCAACGGCAAATTCGACTAATGGCTAGCTCTCTGGAACGGATTAATGCCGTTGGTCGAGGGTCCATTGTATTATAATGATGGGGAAGCACTAAACCCATAGGATTATACAGCACCTGTAGGGGGGAATGGAAGGTATTCAGGCTTAATTCAGGGAACTGGAGCACAGATCCAATTCCCTAGATCAAGAGCCCCTCACCAGCATCAAGGAACCTCCCTTTAGGGGATTCCTAAGCAATTAATTGTTTCTAAAGTGCCAATATTTTAAGTATGGAACATCATACCGCTGAACACTGTAAGTTGGGGCTGTGTTGAATTGTATATGTGGGTGGTAGCTGTAGACAGAACCAACTATGTGTTTCACTTCTTGTTGACTACCTCATGTTATATAAAAAAATATGACATGCTGGAAATATTCCAAATAAGTGAAATATAATAAAAACGTAGAGTACTCTGAGGTGTTGAAACAAAAGAAAAGTAATACATCGATACAGTAAAGTTCACAGCTGCTGTCACAGCTATTCATACCTGACATGTAAGGCAGTTGACCTTTTTGCAGACATCACAGTGAAATATGTTGACATTATCTTCAAACTGACAGAATCCAGGGCAGTCCGGTGTCTTACAGTGAAACACGTTCTGCATGTTTCCCTCAGCTTGCTTCACAGATTTAGTCAGATGCTTCTCATACTCCTCTGGTGTCACCAGCTAAAGCAATATTGACATATTAATTACAACAATATGTTACTTAGTTAAAAAATCAAAGTAAAATACTTTTATATTATTGATGATGTATAGTATTCCAAAAATTTGAATCACTAGAATATTTGCAAATTTTTACTATTAGAAAGTTACACTTCCTCAAACTTACAGCTTTGATTTCTCTGTCCTGCAGAGAAGAGTCACAGGAGTATTGGTTGTCTCTATATGGACACTTCACATCTGCTGTTTCTGAATATTTAATAGCACTAGCCAGGCAGTCTCTGAAGAAAACATCAAAAGTAAAAATTCAACATGAGGCCACACAAAATTTTAAAACATAACTTGTTAAGGATAATATATTATGTGAAGCTGCATCCACGAACACACACAAAAAAAATATTTTTTGTTCCTCTATTGTACCCCTATTAGCTGTTATAAAATATCTTCAAAAATAATGCATTTGTGACTTTGTAAATGGCCCAAGTCGGACCAAAACATCATCATAAGCTTCTCTCTCCTATGTGCAGGTTATTTGTGTATTGTTCCAGTCATGGTATTGTGCCCTTTCGTTCTTCACATTTATACTTTACTATAATAGGGAATTTACCATTGGAAGAGATATGATAATGCTAACAAACTGCAGGTAAATGACGCAACTGTACTGATCAAGATATTTATTATGGAAATGTTTCATCCCAGATAGCTTCTTCAGTCCTAGTGCAGAGACAAATAAGAAATAAATATTCACTGTGGTAGGAGCAAAGGTGGCAAGTTGTGATTTGTGAGGAGGTGGTGGTGGTAGTAGTAGTAGTAGTAGTAGTGAAACGGGTTGAGTTTGAGGATCTGTCCACTGTGGAGTAACATGTTAAAGTTAACATTTTGGGTAATCTCAAAAGGTTTGACAAATGTAAAATTGCATGGGTTAGTGGACCTCCTGCAGTGTTCACGGTGCAATTGTTTGGCCGAGGTTCTGAATATTCTATAGCTGCCTGATTTCTGTTGTATAATCTTGATTGTTGCTATCATTGCTGTTTCCAGGCACCTGCATATGTGCAAATCATTTTCAGGAATTATTAAGTTAACTTCATTGAACTTTATGATGAATCCTTCTGATGTTATGCTGTACTCAGGCATTATTTTGATTGCCCCATCTGCAGGCATTTTGTTGTTATTGAGGTACGAGTTCAAGTATTCTTAATGTTTTGCCTATGTTGTTTTTATTATAATCTTCGCAGAGTATGATGTATATGCCAGCCTTGTCAGTGGTATTGTCTGTGTGTTCGTTCTTAATTTTTGCCAAGTCTTTGATGGAGGCTGAAGGGGGGCATCGGGCAATTTTCCGCGCGCGCTCACCGAAAAATCGAAAAAATATGGAAATTGAGTTATATATACTGAAAAATAGCTCAACTCTTTGGCAACACAATGGTACCAGAATGAATGTTCTACGACGTTTCTACAAGAAATTATAGTCATTTATATCAGGTATGGTGACGGCGATGTTGGTACCGAGTCTGCTCACGGCCTATATATTTTTTGGAGTTATTTTCTTGTTTTTTATCGCCTTTTCTTACATTATTCTTTCTAATATAATAACTGACTATTTGGCATCATAAAACAGTAGGTGGGACTTATCCGCAGACTCAGTGACTACCGGGAACCAGATGGGAACGGTCGGCAGTGTTCCCGCTCCCGAGGTACCAGCAGGAATCGCCCATTATTACGCTTATATATCAACTCTACGGCTTATTTGTCTATCAGAATTGATCTAATATGATATAATAAACACTATAAATAACATACAAACATGTTATATACTCTAGGCTGAATAAAATAGGCCATAATATGACGAAAGATTATCGGGAATATTTCGATAAATATTGAGTTACTCCTCTCCATGTCCCATTCTTTAGTCTCTGAGTAAGAGAAAACGGTGTTTTGAAGAGGATAACTGCACTAGAACATCAGTTTACTAAGAAATACACCCAAACAAACGCGATTTTCGCGAAAATTTTTTTTTTTTTTTTGAGACGGGGGCCGGCCGGCATTCCCGGCCGATATCTCGGAAGTAACTTATTCACCTAAGGAACGAAATGCTTCCTTTATTACTTAATTAAATGGAATAATATTCACAGACATTGTAGAATAATGATTTCTCTTATTTTGACCGTTGAGTTTTTGAAAATATTCCCAAAATACTTTGGGAGTTATGGGGGGAGTAAAGGGCAAAACTTTTTGCAATATTCCAGAAACTAACAAACTTTATTTTTTTGTGAAGTAACGGTAAGGTATTTAGAGGAAATCTAACGGTCAAAATAAGTATTAGCATTGTTCTCTCGGCACCAAGTGTCCAAACAACCTTACGTAGCCCCATATAAGAATGACTTCTGTCCCAAGGGCATTTTCAGTAAATCAGTTGTTGTTTGAGGTATATTTTTGATAAATATTTTCAAGAAAGAGTGAGAACACTTTGTCTTGTGCACCAAAACTGGAGAAAATCGGACAGTAAATAAACGAGTTATGAATTTTGCCCGATGGCCCCCTGAAGCTTTGGTGGCTATTTTCATGTGTCAATCTATCATAAGCCATAATACATTAGGAGTCAAATTATTCACTTGCAAATTGATGCATTTGGCTGGTGATTCTTTTATGTTTCTGTTGAAGATGTGCACGGATCTCTTTCTGCAGTTGTTGATATAGTGTGGTGGGAAATAAAGCTGTAGAAAAACAGTTGCAATACAGGCATACCTTGCTAATCCAGCAAGTTAGGTTCCAGAATACTGCCGTAAAGTAAATACGACCTTAAAGTGAATCAGTTGTTTTTTCGTTTGTCAGTGCATACAAAAGCCTAAAAATATGTTTACACTAAGTGTTCAATACTGCTATGCTTAAAAATATGCACAAATGCTGCAGACTGAGTGTGGATAATAAGATGGTGCCGGTCAGCTGATGCCCACATCACCATCAAAAATAATAAACATGAAATATAATTGAAAAGAGCCATATTAGTGAAGCACTCTAAAGCAAGCACCATATTAACAAAGTATGCCTGTACACACGAAATTACAATACATATGAAGTTCAACTAGCTCAATAAAATCTTAGCTTAGTATGGGGCGATCCAAATCATCATTTACTTTCTTTCAATTGAGGTCTAAAGCTTGCCATGATGGCCCTGTGTGAACAGGGCCATCATGACAATATATGTAAGCTTTTTATTCTTGATATTGTAATATCTAATGCAATTTAGATCTCCTGAATATTGTAAGTGTACTTCGGTGATCTTACCTAACAGGATCTCCAGCCCACAATACTTAGAAGACTGTGCGTAATGTAAAGAAAATCTCTGGTATTATTTACAGGTAAGTCTTGCAGGAGAATGCACAATAAAGAATGAAGATAGTGTAGCTTTTCTTATTTGATATTGCTCAAGGAACATCAGACTGTGAACACCAGATACTTATGGCATTTGTACAACTGGCCAATAAAGGAGTACACTGCCCAGTTACAATGCCAACCTTCATTGTATGTACTAGGAAACACAGGTCTTGAAAGCTTCAGATCAAAGCAGAGAAACATGATTAAGTTACTGTGCAGAAACCAGTGATAAAAAAAACTGGGAGGAGATACATAATTACTCATAAAGGATTTGATGTTGATGAGGGTATGGCTCTGGTAACTTTATTCTAAAGTGTAAGCATTCTTCTTTATGTTGCATAAGGAAATTTTTATTTTCGGTAAACAATACTGAATGATAAGTGAATACGTCTTTAACTGCTCCCTGCTTTGTTACTTTACTAGCAAGATTCACTCACCTGCAGAAGGTATGGAGACAGTCCCGCAGTACGACACCTTCGCCTGAATTAATGTCCACAAAGCAGACGCGGCACTCGAATGGGTCTGGGTTGGGTACACAGCCCTGACGTTCAAGTGCAAACATCACTGCACCTAACCCAGGTGTCTGAAATAAAATAAAACTAGGGGTACTACTATCAAACTGATTTAATACAGCAGAGTATGTACAATAAATGCCATAACCACACATGCCTTTACATTAACACATTGGACAACAGCACATCTAAATTACGGTTTTTGATAAACTAGCTTTTTTTAACCCTTTGACTGTTTTGGTTGTATATATAAGTCTTAATTTTAGCGGCTTCAAATTAAGCAGGAGAAAGCTGGTAGGCCCACATGTGAGAGAATGGGTCTGTGTGGTCAGTGTGCGCAGTATAAAAAAAATCCTGCAGCACGCAGTGCATGAGAAAAAAAACTCCGACCGTGTTTTTGGATTAAACATCGACTTTGAGGTGTATTTTCATATAGTACTTATGGGTGTATTCTTGTTTTCCTGGTCTCATTTGATAGAATGGAAAACATATTATAGAAATAAAAGTGGTTTTGATTGGTTTTACTACAAAAAGGATCTTAAAATGGAGCTCAAAGTGGCAGAAATGTTCGATTTTTGCCGATGTTCAAGAGTAAACAAATGACGTCACTGTCCAATAAATGTCCAACTAGCCATTCTAATATGCAGTCACAAATGGGTTGACATTATTTATACAATTATTACAATACAGTGGAAACCTCAAAAATCGAACTTAATCCGTTCCAGGAGCTAGTTCTAAATTCGAAAAGTCTGAAATTCGAAGCAATATTTCCCCATAAGAAATAATGGAAATGCAATTAATCCGTTCCAGAAACCCAAAAATATTCACACAAAAAATACATTTTATAGAGATTAATTACAGTTTTACATGCAACAATTACTATAGTTTTTAATTATGTATAGTAATACATATAAAATAACATTTTTACTTACCTTTATTGAAGATTGGTGATGGCATCTGGAAGATAGGGAGGAGAAGAGAGGGAGTTGGGGTTAGTGTTTGGAAGGAGAATCCCCCTCCATGAGGACTTCAGGTAAAGCCCTCTCTGGGGTTACTTCCCTTCTCTGTCTTTTAATGCCACTAGGACCAGCTTGAGAGTCACTGGACCCCTGTCTCACAAAATAACTGTCCGCAGTCCTCTGTTCTGGTGCCTCTTTAACATTTCCCTAAAATGGGACATGGTTCTGTCACTGAACTTGTTGCAAAGATGGCTTGTTTCAGCTTGCTCAGGGTGGTACTTCTGCACAAACATTTGGACATCATTCCACTTGGCACAAATCTCCTTAACACCTTTCGCAACAGCTTCCTTGATTTGTTCTTTCTTTGATAGGATAGAACCGATGGTCGACTTGTTTTTCCCATACATCCTGGCAAGCTCAGCAAGTCTCACACCACTCTCATACTTCTGTATTATTTCCTTCTTCACATCTATGGTGTTTCTCACTTTCTTTACCACAGGGGTACCACTAGCAAGTTTCTTTGGGCCCATGGCAGCTTATTTCACAGTCCCACAAGCAATAAACACAACGAAATAATCGTAAAATGCGTGAATGAGAGTGCAGGTTAGTGTTCACTCAAGCATAAACAAAGTTAGACTGCTCACGGCGCCTGCGCGGGGACGCGGACAGAGCGGGCAGCAGACAGGTCCCGTACCCAGCGGTCCGAAAATAGGGGCGCATTCGATAATAGGGACACAGTTTGTCTGAAAAAATGGTCCTATTTTCAAAACATTCGATATGTGATACGTTCGATTTTTGAGGTTCCACTGTATTGCAGTAGACTGCATAACAGTAAATCTTCTGTTTTTTTGTGTGAATAAAAATTCAAAATAGAAAGCAAGAGGATTATAACAGGGGCCTGGAGACGTGACTGATGAACAAAGAAAATGTTATTTTAGTGCCAGGAAATTCTGCATAACCCACACATCCTAGGTAGTAGGTTGGTAGACAGCAACCACCCAGGGAGGTACTACCATCCTGCCAAGTGAGTGTAAAACGAAAGCCTGTAATTGTTTTACATGATGGTAGGATTGCTGGTGTCCATTTTTCTGTCTCATAAACATGCAAGATTTCAGGTACGTCTTGCTACTTCTACTTACACTTAGGTCACACTACACATACGTGTACAAGCATATACGTATATACACACCCCTCTGGGTTTTCTAATATTTTCTTACTAGTTCTTGTTCTTGTTTATTTCCTCTTACCTCCATGGGGAAATGGAACAGGATTCTTCCTCCGTAAGCCATGCGTGTTGTAAGAGGCGACTAAAATGCCAGGAGCAAGGGGCTAGTAACCCCTTCTCCTGTATATATTACTAAATATAAAAGGAGAAGTTTTCGTTTTTCCTTTTGGGCCACCCCGCCTTGGTGGGATACGGCCGGTGTGTTGAAAGAAAGAAGAGCCCACACATAGGAGAGAGGAGCTTATGACGACATTACGGTCCAACTTGGACCATTTACAAAGTCACGCTAATAGAAAGGAGAGAAGGAGGGAGTATATATAGACCAGAAGACAGGGACAGCAACCATCCAGTGAAGTAGTCCAGTCATATGAGAGGAAATCAGCTCTAATATATATTATTTAGATATGCATACTGGTCAGAGAGCTGGTTGTAAGTCTGAGTCATTGGTAAACGAGTATGTCGCTAAGTGAGGAAAGTCTTTATATGCTTGTATGTGTTGTGTAAGCAGAAGTAGGAAGATGTACCTGAAATCCTGCATGTTTATGAGACAGAAAAAAGACACCAGCAATCCTTCCATCATGTAAAACAATTACAGGATGGCAGTACCTTCCTGGGCAGTTGCTGTTTACCAACCTACTACCTCCTACAAAAAGTTACATCTAAATTAAATTATATAGGACCCTTGTATCACACCAGTTAGAAATGCATATTCAGTCTGCTAATATTAAGAGATTAACAAGATCTCCATATGTGCACTCTTCATGCATTCCAGTCACTGTAATTACACATTCCAGACACTGTAATTACACATTCCAGACACTAATTACACATTCCAGATGCCTCATCATTTAATTAGTGATTACTATCTAGTTTGACGTAGTTCCATATTTTTGTTGTCAAAGCATCACAGATGAAAACTTCAGTAAATTAAAAATTGGTTCCAAAAATGATAAATAGGAACTAAGGTGCCAATTTCAATAGGACACTGCTGAAAGAGCATACATATGTATTACATCACAAGTCAAAAATACATTTTCAAAGTACAGTCAAGAAACTTAAGGGCTTGATAAATCAGTCAATAAATAAAAAAGGAACCATAAAATGCCTTTACCAGGAATTCTTAAGAATAATATTAATTTAGACTGGCATACGAAAGTTCTTTCCATAATTCCAAACATTACTGTTAGTATATTTTGAGGAAGTGCTAAACCTGTAGGGGTTATATAGTGCTTAGGGAATGAGAGGCGATCAGATGCAATCCAAGGAAGGGAAGAACCAGTCCAATTCCTTGGATCAAGAGCTCCTCAGTGACATCAAGGAACCTCCCTCAAGGAGCTTAACCTTTAACCCTTTGACTGTCGCAACCCCCAATCCTGAGGTGTCTCCTGGTGTCGCAAAATTTAAAAAAAAAAAAAAAAATTATTTTTTCTTATGAAATGATAGAGAATCTTTTCCCGATTGTAATGACACCAAAAAAACGCAATTTGATGGAAAACTGACGGAATTATGCTCTCGCGAAGTTAGCGACCTCGGCGCTGTTTACAAATCGGCGATTTCGCCCACTTTGAGCCCTATTTTCGGCTAATTGCATTGTTCCAGTCGCCCAAACTCATAGCTATTTCTTTAGAACTTCATTTTTTCTATCGATTGAGTACAAGAAACTGCCCATTTACTGATTTCAACTACCTAATAATGTGGTCAGAAATTTGCAATTTGGCCAATTTCACGAAAACTAAAAAATATGACAATTTCAAAATAAGGTTCAGAATGAACAATGCAGACATTCCAGGCTCTAAAATAACGTTTTCTTTGTTCATCAGTCATGTCTCCAGGCCCCTCTGATATTACTCTTGCTTTCTATTTTGAATTTTTATTCAAACAAAAAATATTAGACTTACTATTATGCAGACTACTGCAATGCTGTAATAACTGTATAAATAACATCAACCCATTCATGACTGCATATTAGAATGGCTAGTTGGACATTTATTGGACAATGGCATCATTTGTTTACTTTTGAACATTGGCAAAAATCAAACATTTCCCCTACTTTGAGCTCCATTTCTAGGTTCTTTTTATAGTAAAATCAATCAAAAACACCTCTATTTCTGTAATATGTTTTCAATTCTATCAAATGAAACCAAGAAAACGAGAATACAACCATAAATACTATACGAAAATAGACCACAAAGTCGGCATTTTAATTAAAAAAAACGGTCGGAGTTTTTTTTTTCTCATTATGCACTGCGTGCTCCAGGATTTTTTTTATATGGTGCACACTGACCACACAGACCCATTCTCTCACATGTGGGCCTACCAGCTTTCTCCTGCTTGATTTGAAGCCGCTAGAATTTATGAGTATATATACGTCAAACACGGCACCTCGTAAAACGTATATATACGACCGCGACAGTCAAAGGGTTAAACTGTCCAAACGTAGATCTACGTTTATGCGCATAGCGCTCCGAGCTTGATTTTCCCAGTTGAAAACATGTAAAAAAAAAGTAGATCTACGTTCGGAGCACTACGCAAGCAAACATAGATCTACGTTTGGACAGTTTAGGGTTAAAAGTAATCCTCTACAGTATCATAAAATTTAGAGCTCACCTTGTGAGAGAAGCCTGTTTCATGCTGGTACACATCACCAGGGCGCTCAGTGGCACAAGCCTCACACCCTGGCCTAGTCCACTTGTTAACTAGTGTACATCTTGGGCACACCCAGCCAAGGGTCTTGGTGGGTGATGCAGGTGGCTCTCTTCTCATGTCCACTTGCTGCCCTGATAACTGAGGCTTTGTTGCTGCTGCATCATTATTCATAAAGTGCCTTTGCTGTTCGGGTAATTGCTGCTCTGGTTTTCTTGAATTCTGTTGAGGCTCTCTCTGAAGTTGCAATTGTAGAGATTGTTTCTGGTGCTGAGGTTGTCCTAACTGCTGCTGTGGGTGGAAAGTGTCTTGCTGTGATGACTGGGAATCTTGTTGCTGGGACGACTGGGTTGATTGGTGCTCTAAAAACTGGTTTGAATGATTCTGTGTTGGTTGTGTTAAACAATGTTGTGAGTGAGAAGACTGAAGCTGGAATTCTGATGATTGTTCTTGAGACTTTTTCGACCAGGGGAGCTGAGGATGTTCTTGTGTTGGTGTTTCCTGGGTATGAACAGACAGTGGTGTTGGGTGCCCAGTTGAATACTTAGGAATTTGTGGCTGCAATTCACACTCTCTGATATGGAATTCTTGGGTTGGCTTTGAAAAGTCCAATTTTTGTAAACCATTGTGATTAGAAGGTAAATCTTGAGTATATTCTGTGTGTGAACTTTGAGTAGGAATTGACTCTTGGGGATTTAGAGAAATAAGTTGATTTGATGATGACTGGTGTTGCAATGTCATATGTTGATGATATTGCTTCTGATGCTGTAACTGTGTACTGCATTTTGTTTCTTGTATTTGTACTTGTTGTTGATCAATAGGTATAGTCTCATTATGCAGCTTCATTTGTTTATATGTACTGGTATGCTGTATTTGGTGTTGTTGACTTAACTTTTCAGCAGGCTGAGACATTTGTCTCTCTGTTGACTGATATTGTAATAATCTATAACTTTCTTTGTTGTGTTCCTGCATATCACTTTGGCTGTGGGTAGCATGAATGGCAATACTTGTAGAACTGGTGTGACTAGTAGATACTGCATTTGAATAAATAGCTAGAGAGTTACTGTCTTGACTAGAAACAGCATTTGTGGTAATGGTAATATGAGGTGAATTTAGAGGCTGTGGTAATAAATATTTCTCTCCTTGCGACTGTAATAACACTGATTTATATATTTTATTTTCATTTTGTTGTAAATTAGTCTCTCTACTTGCTGCTGAATTATATACATGCTGATCTTTTTCTTTCTCTTTTTCACTAAAAGTCTCATTTTGGTATACATTTTCATCATCATCTTCTTCCTCTAATGTATCTTCTTCACTAGTGTCTTCTTCACCACTTACATCACTATCATCTTCATCAATGCTTATTTCATATTTATTTGTATCTGGGTTATAAAACTTGTATTGCTCATTTGTTTCTTTACTGCAGTCTTGCAAATGTCTTGGAGGTTCATCCTCCTTCACTCTTCTTACCTCACCATAATGACATCCATTATGTCTTGAAATAACAGTCTTTTCAGAAGGAGTCTGTACCTGAACTTTAGACTCAGAATCAGGGGCCACTAAGTAAAGGAAAATTGGACAAGCTTCTGTGGTAACCTTGTGGTGCTCCAAGGTATGATTGTCATCATCTGCCAAGCGTCTTCCCAGGATCCATCTCTGAACCTCTGGTGGGAATCCAAAGTCTTGACAGACCTAAAAATGTTAAATGCCAGTTAGAAAATAAAAAGAAGAAAATGCCCAAAATGGTATTATTGTATGGAAAGTAAAATCATTTAATAAAAAATGCAATGATTCATTTTTATCTACCATGGCAATATCTAGGTCACTGATGTCATTATGATTAAGACAAAAGAGCATATGGTGATGCTTGAGAGAGAATGAAGAGTATTTTAAAAATATATTGTAGAAATCTCTCAAATAAAAAGTATAAGCATTGTTACAGAGATCATTGACTGATTGCAGCAGATAGTGAGTTAGGAAAACTGTTCACACTGTCAGTACACCAATGTTAAACAATGTGTAACAAATGGCAAAAGGCTAGACTTTGTGCATGGGGATCAACAACATTAAATCACCTAAGACCACTAATAACCCAGCAAAAGGCAGCAGTCAGAATGATAACAAATTCCCACTCCCGACAGCATACTATACCAATATTTAAAAGTCTAAATTTTTATTTTTATTTTTATTATCACACTGGCCGATTCCCACCAAGGCAGGGTGGCCCGAAAAAGAAAAACTTTCACCATCATTCACTCCATCACTGTCTTGCCAGAAGGGTGCTTTACACTACAGTTTTTAAACTGCAACATTAACACCCCTAAATCTGCTCACCATTAAGAATATCCATACTTATTCATATGTCTACTACTTACATAGAACAATACAAGCAAATATAAACCCTCCACTCAAACTTTTCCTCACAATACTCATGTGTTGATGAGTCAAACTATTGAGTAAAAATACTCACGTAGGCTGGAAGTACGTATATTGTAACTGAAGTATGTGGAAAGGCGCCACAGCCGATCCTGCCTCTCTCGCTCACTCTCGTATAACTGACTGGCCGCCCACAGTACCCATATGTGAGGGGGTCTTTGAATACTGCTGTGGTCAGCACAATATGAATAGACAGTGACTCAGGCAGAGACGGTTTGGTAGTGAGTCAACTACTGGTACACTGGTTACTGGTAACTGGTTACTAGTAGTTGACTCACTACCAACCGTCTCTGCCTGAGTCACTGTCTATTCATATTGTGCTGACCACAGCAGTATTCAAAGACCCCCTCACATATGGGTACTGTGGGCGGCCAGTCAGTTATACGAGAGTGAGCGAGAGAGGCAGGATCGGCTGTGGCGCCTTTCCACATACTTCAGTTACAATATACGTACTTCCAGCCTACGTGAGTATTTTTACCCAATCCACGTGTTCGAACTCCCACATGATAAATGGTAGCACCGGTGTGGAGCGTGGATTTAGTTTTTACGGGTAATTCAAGACGTTAGAAGACTGTGAGTAGCGACGTTAGAAGACTGTGAATAGCGACGTTAGAAGACTGTGAGTAGCCGGCGGGTCAAAGGTGAACCGTCTCACCCACCAGCTACTCCCCTCACAACCTCCAGCCTGCAAGCCTGTTGCAGAAGTTTTTCAAGCTTCCTGGCTTAGTTCGTGTGCTAATTGCTTCAATCTCCAAGGGGTTGACCCGGATTTTGCAATTAAGCCAGTCAGTAAGCAAGACTGTGGAAGTGAACGCCAGTCAGCCTATCATCCAGCCTGTCTCCTGTCATCCACCTGCTCCTCCGTGCTGTGTGCATCGTTACACGTCTTCCAGTCAGCCATTCTCGTGGGGTAAGCCAGTCAGCCAACCCAGCTTCTAACCCAGCTGAGAGAGAGAAGTAAGCCACGCAAGTTCAGAGCCTCTGAAGTATCGTCTCATGTATCGCTTTGTGCTCCCAGTTGGATGCTAAGCGTGGTTTTCATCATTCCTGTGGCTTATCAAGCCACCTTTGTGGGTAGTGAGTGGAGTGCGCGCCAGAGCGCCAGCGAGTCATCTCATCCCACCGCTGCCACCATTTATCATGTGGGAGTTCGAACTCCCACATGATAATAACACAAGACACAGATCTCTTTTTGATGTACCCCATGTCCATATCACACTGTGTAAAAACTCTACGCACATAAAGGGCCCCAAAATTTGGAATTCATTACCAGAAAATACCAAAGTAACCTGGTCTGAAAATCAATTTAAGACTCTTCTCAAAAGCCACTTAATCACCCTAGATTAAATACTCAATATTTAACATTACCACTAAATCTACCAGTTACCCAAATCTTAAAACTTAATGACTTAGACAACCAAGCTCATATATTGACAAATTACCACATAGAAGTATACATACCTACCAAAACCAGTATTGTCCTTCACCAAATTGTAGCAGTCTTGTACTGTAAACTATTGTAAACTACTGTAAACTACTGAAAACTACTCTTGAATCATGTTTCATTAAAAGCATTTTTGAATACATGAATATATCCTTTGGTTTGTATAAATTAGATTCACTTATAATTAATAGAACTACTGTACAACTATGAAAATTTCTTTAGTGATATGTAGTCAGTAAGCCATTAAATTAAGTCAGCCCATAATGCCAAGGCATAATAGAGGTTCTCTTTGCACTGCAACCCATTATTGTAAAAATATAATCTCAATGCACTACTTGCAAAGAAATAAATTAATTTGAATTTGACTTGTTGCCCATATCTCCTCTCTTGGGATGTTTTGCTCTGTGTGTGTACTAGCCTTTAGCCTACACACATAAGAACATAAGAAAGGAGGATCACTGCAGCAGGCCTGTTGGCCCATACTAGGCAGGTCCTTTACAATCCGTCCCACTAACAAAACATTTGTCCAACCTAATTTTCAATGCTACCCAAGAAATAAGCTCTGATAACTTTATCCACTCAAATCCATTCCCTCTCACTCATATATTTATCCAACCTAAATTTGAAACTACCCAAAGTCCTAGCCTCAATAACCACTAGGTAGACTGTTCCACTCATCAACTACCCTATTTCCAAACCAATACTTTCCTATGTCCTTTCTAAATCTAAACTTGTCTAATTTAAATCCATTACTGCGGGCTCTCTCTTGGAGAGATATCCTCAAGACCTTATTTATATCCCCTTTGTTAATACCCATCTTCCACTTATACACTTCGATCAGGTCTCCCCTCATTCTTCGTCTAACAAGAGAATGTAATTTAAGAGTCTTCAATCTTTCTTCATAAGGAAGATTTCTAATGCTATGTATTAATTTAGTCATTCTACGCAGAATGTTTTCTAACGAACTGATGTCCATTCTGTAATATGGAGACCAGAACTGAGCTGCATAATCTAGGTGAGGCCTTACTAATGATGTATAAAGCTGCAGTATAACCTCTGGACTTCTGTTGTTTACACTTCTTGATATAAATCCCAATAATCTATTTGCCTTATTACGTATGCTTAGGCACTGCTGTCTTGGTTTAAGGTTGCTGCTCACCATAACCCTCAAGTCCTTTTCGCAATCTGTATGGCTAAGTTCTACATTATTTAACTTATAAGTGCTAGGGTTATGGACACTCCTGAGCTTCAGAACCTTGCAGGTTTGCAAATAAGTGTAGGATGGACTCACTGTGGCAATTCTTTACACCAGCTGACTTCTCAGTACAGTGGTCCCTCGATAATCGTCAGGCTCAATAGTAGTCCTTTTCGGAAATCGTCGCGTTATTTTCACCCAAACATTGGCTTGCAAATGGTCGGTTGACTCACTAATTGTTGTTCATCCTGGACGCGTACTCACGGCTCTGAGCCACCTCGGCCTCCCTTCCCAGTCAGTGTGCCATTGTTTACCAGTGAGCGACGATCCCCACACTTGTTCATATGAAATATTTCATGATATTCCATTCATTTTAGTGCTTGCAAGTGCTAAATAAGCTACCATGGCTCCAAAGAAAGCTCCTAGTGCCAAGCCTTTGGTAAAGAAGGTGAAAAATACAATTGAATTTAAGAAAAACATCATTGAACAATATGAAAGTGGCGTACGTGTGGCCGACCTGGCCAGGATGTATAACAAACCCCATACAACCATATCTTCCATCGTGGCAAAGAAAATGTGGGGTAGGATGGAAAGATTTATGGAGAAACATCACCCTGAGAAGGATGTTGCAAGCCACATCAGCAACTTGTACAGTGACAGAGTCTTGGTCCATTTTGGGGAAGTTTTAAAGATACACCACAAACAGAGCTCTCTGGACACTTTTTTTGTGAGACAGGACTCCAGTGACTCTCAAGCTGGTCCTAGTGGCATTAAGAAACAGAGAAGAGAAGTAACCCCAGAAAAGGACTTGGTACCTGAGGTGTTGATGGAAGGGAATTCCCCTTCCAAAGAGTAACTAATCCAATCTCTCTCCTCCTCCAGTCTTCCATACACTAAGAAGAATCGCCAATAAAGGTAAGTGTTATGCTGTCAATGTTTCATTCATCATGTCCAATTGTATTGTTTATGTACTACAACTATATTTCATGTAAAAAAAATTTTTGTTTTAATACGTCTGGATGTCAGGAACGGATTAATTGTATTTACATTATTTCTTATGGGGAAAATTGATTAAAAAATCGTCTATTTCGATAATCTTCGCACTTCCAGGAACGGATTAACGACGATAGATGAGGGACCACTGTAATTACAAAATTTTTACCAAATGCTGCAAATTAACAGCTAAACTTACCAGTAGTTTAACCCTTTGACTGTTTCGGCCATATACATGTATATACGTCTTACGAGCCAGTGTTTCGGACGTATATATACTGAGTAATTCTAGCGGCTTCAAATCAAGCAGGAGAAAGCTGGTAGGCCCACAGGTGAGGGAATGGGTCTGTGTGGTCAGTGTGCACTGTACAAAAAAATTCTGCAGCACGCAGTGCATGAGAGAAAATAAACTCCGACCATGTTTTTGGATTAAAACGCCGACTTTGAGGTGTATTTTCCTATGCTATTTATCTTGGTCTCATTTGATAGAATGGAAAACATATTATAGAAATAGAGATGATTTTTATTAGTTTTATGATGAAAACAACCTTGAAATTGAGCTCAAAGTAGCGGAAATGTTCAATTTTTACATAAGAACATAAGAAAGGAAGAGCACTGCAACAG